GCACGATTTAAAAATTCCCCCCCTTTTCCCCACCCAGCCACTAAGTTTAGGGGTTAGTGCACTTCCTACTCAGTTGCCTGCACCAAACGTCAGGCCTATTGCTCTGTAGCTTCCCAGACTCCTCCCCCCTCCCCAAATCCTTCCAACTGCACCCCCAATCCTTCCACCGCAGCACCGGGGATGGACTCATAAGGTGCCAATGCTGGGGAAGCTCACTGGAAAGCACCTGAAGCTGTTCCCAGCCCTTTCCATCAAGGGAGCTCTCCAGGCCTCAGCTCTGGCCCCATCTAGTCACAGAATCTCAGGAGGCTTGGGGTTGGAAGGCACCTCTGGAGACCATTTGCCCAAGCCCCCTTGTCAAAGCACAGTTACCCAGAGCTGAGACTGTGACAAGGACTGGTTGGATACCTGCCACAGGAATTTCTCCCAACAGAGCAAGAAACCTGCTAATGCATGTTTTCTGACAACACATCCTTTGCAAAGTATTGCATATAATTTCCATGACCTTGCTTGCTACATTTAAAAGCCTAGTACAGGAAAAATGCAAATTAAAAAAAAAACAGATCAAAAAATCCAGTCCAAACAAAAATTCTAAAATAAACAGACACAGCTTAATGTATAAGGTAAAGGCTAATAGTTAAATGATACCAAGTTTCCCTTGTTCCAGGCACAAAGAGGATAAAACATAGTACAAAGGGAACAGACATGGAAGATCTTGTAACTCCTCTGTGCAAGGACTTTACTCAATCTGATGCTGCTGGATCAGCACATGCTCACGTCTACTCTTGGTGCCCCTCAGTGGTTCTGGAGCACCCTGCAGTGAGCAAAGGGGTTCCTGCCCTATGTGACTGTGAATGTGCTTTACTGATATTTTCCTTGGTAGCAAAACCACAGAAAACAAAAAAATACAAACAACCAAAACTGGATGACAATTGGATGATTGGGTGATGGTACATCATAGCTGTACATGAAGCCGACTTACATGAAGCCAAACAAGTATCACCAGTTTCTGCAATCCTCTCTTTTTCAAATTGCAACAGCAGATACTCAGAAGTCCCTGAAACCTGGCAAATCATTCCTAATAGGAAAATTGTACACTGCTGAGCAATAGTGTTATAGAACATCATCAGATCTTCATGACAGTTCAGGTAGTGATTAAAAATGTCAAGAAATAAACTGTATAAATTCTTTAAAGGCATGTGTTTAGCTATGCCGGAGAATGAAACATTCACATTCTCAGTTCACACTAAAAGCAATTAGAATTGCTTTTACGTATTTACATTAGAACTGTATAATTCTCAGATTATGACTTCTGTGGAAGTTCTCAAACCTCCAGGCCTAGACCTTAGTATAAACAACCATCTCAGCCAGAGGGGATCAGATGCTGGGGAAACATAGGAGAGTTGCAGCTCTTAGCATGAGGCACTGAGACTGGGGCAGGGCTGAAGAATCTGGTACAGCTGAGATCAACCAGAATATGTTATGAAAACCCAAATCTAGTTTCAAAGGCTAAACAAACGTATACTGCAGTATGCCTTCCCTTCTTTCTTTGTCTTATCATCGTTCATCTTTGTTGCACAATTTTAATGCAACTTCAACTACTTTATGCCATTAAACTATTGAAAAGCTACATTTCTGGCACATCAAGTAGAAACATGGCAACATAGCTCTAATCAACCTTGGAAATGGTTGCACCGGTCCCAGCTGTCTTCAGGAGAACGAGTCAAGTACTGTTGAGTTTAGTGATGTCCCTTCAAGTAAGTGTGTGGACATATGAACAGGAAAACACTGGAAGGGGTGTAAATTTGCTACCAATTCAGTAACAAAAACAGAGAAGAAAAAGGCCCGACAACGTGCTGCTGCATACCCAGGTAGCTGCTAGGAGTCTTGAACAATATCACTGATCTCAAGCAGCCTGACAGGAGTATTTTTGGAACCCACCAGAAAACAGCTGAAGAATTCCATTTGCTCCAGATTTACATTACCAGCAAGAGTAGAAGAGGTAAGGTTTGACAATACCAACATGCAGTGGGTGACTAATCAGTCTGTTAGGCATGGAAGAGCAAAGCAGTGCCAAACAGGGATGAATCCACTAGCTAATTCCCCTCTCATTTAGGGGAATTAGTATTTAGCATTTTAGCAACAGCTTTAGAGCTCCTCCTTCTGACCCTAGAGAGAATGGCAGACCAAGCATGTGTGAATATTTGAGGTGAGATGAGAGTAAGTATTGTAATTGTAATAGGCATATTAGGTCACAGCATAAGATACTGCAGCTATATACAGAGAACACTTAAGGTACCTGTCTCTCAGCTGTACCTTTTATACTTAATCACAACTTCACCTTTCCAGAGGGAAATCTGCAATATCCAATTTCACTTACACTTTTTTTAGAACTAAGTTTTCCCCTGAAATAATAGAAAGAAAAAGTGAAAATACCCACTTGTATGGCCTTAATGCAGTGCTGGATAGACACTCCATGGGGTAAGAAGAATTAAAAGCAAGCCACAGCAAAGATTTGGAAGATATTAGCAAGTTTCTGGAAAAAAAACCAAAAAACAAAACCCAAACCAGATAGTGGGGAGAAATTATATGGCAGTTTTTATAGCTATTGATTCCCTAATCATTGTGCGGAGAAATGATATAGCAGTTTTTATAGCTGTTGATTCCCTAATCACTATACAGAATGCAGCAATAGATGTGATGGCATCTTGCCGAAGTTATCCAGAAAAAAACATACAGACTCTGTCTGTTATTTGCAACAGAGAGAACCAATGATGTAAGTGAGTAATGGCCACAAACAGAAAATCACATAGCCAGATGTGGCAACATCATTCAGCTTCAATTAAGCTTCTGTCTCCCTAAATACAATAAGCAGTAGTCTAAGATTAGCGGAAAATGGTCAGTAATGCTATTACACTTAGATAGAGTAGGAAATTTGTTGAATGAATTAAGATAGAGCTGTACCAGCTTCCAAAAAACCAGGCATGCTCAATTTCAGTTAAGTGAGCTTGCTGAAGAGCTTCATCAGATATAAAAAAAAAAAAAAAAAAAAAAAAAAGCAGCTTTCTCAGACAGCTACACTTTGACAGGATTAGCTTGCACCCAGCATCAGTGCTATCTGAGAATGGTGGCATATCAATTCATAACAGAGAAGCAGTTCTTCTGTTACCAGTGCTGCTAGCTACAGCCACAACATAAGCAAGCTCAGAGATAGCATATCGGAACAGTGCATGTGAACACTAACCCCTAAGCCAACCCTTGCAGCAGGAAAAGATCAAGTTTAGATATAAGTATTGCCACTAAGACGACTCTGAACCCCACTGATGGCTGCCAGCACCTAATAACGAGTGTAGCAATGGCTCAGTATCAAAGTTATCCAGCCACCAAGGAGGGGACTCTAGCCCAGAGCCCAGTGCTGTGCCACTCAGCTCTCCCTTCCCGCAGGAATTAAGACTTTTACCAGGACTAAGAAGAAATACTAGACTTGTGGTTTCCATCAGACCACCACTGAGGTGCAGGGCAAGCAAAGAGCTCGTTATTTGTTAATCTGGAAGTCACAAAGAACTAGCACTTCCTCAGCTTCACTCCTTGGGGTCTCTCCACGCTACTCTTACACACAAGAGACCTGTTTTGTGGAAAACACAGTATTAGACTTGGTGCGTTGTATTGTTTGGCTGCTAATGGAAAACAGCAGATAAACTTCCATTTTGAATATGTACAGATACAAAAGGGATTGGCGGACCGACAAGTAAAGGCAGTTAGTAGTAGTCACAGGGCTAACGTACCACCAGAGAAGAGATCTGTCTCTCTTTATTATAAGAGCAATTGCACCTTTACCTTAACAAGTACGTGGCGAGGCAGAACCTGCCATGCTGCGTAGTATGGAGCACCTGAGTCACTGCCAGGAGCGAGTGAGCCAGGCAACAGCAACGTGCTTGTTAGTGCCAGCAGCACAGGTGAGCCTCTGCTCACAAGTGTGCAGCAGGAGTTCAAGGTGAAAAGAAACAATCTGGTGGCAGCTGGCAACCTGGTTGTAAGCAGCAGCCTCACAAAATGACAAGGTTAAGAAAGCAAGTCAGGGCTCAGTTTCAGACTCACCCTGGAGCTTTCTGTCCCTTGCTATTTTCATATCCTTCTGGACTTACAGGACTGGTTGGGGTTACGGGAAATGGACCAAAACCACAGATTTGCAGTTCAAGTCTAACCCATAGTTGTGAGCATTAGCTTTCACGTGGGCATTAAAATTTCCTAGGAATGATTCTAAGCCCGCATTTGGGTGATGGCCTAAGCTGAAGTCATAGCAGCCCCAGCCCCAGAATGACACAAGAGCTAACCCAGAATTCCCTGTGTCCAGTGCGGGACTAGGCTTTCGTGTCAACTGTTAGATGCCAACCCCAGTACATAGCTCTGCTGCTCACTTCCTAAGTAGAAGGCAGACGTGTAGTTTGTGAAGGCTGAGCTGGTGCCCTCATCCTCAACTTCAGAGCTGCTCTCTCTAGTTTTTATTCCTGGCTTAGCTCAGCACTGGCAATCACAGGTTCTTCCCACATCATCCCATGCCTACACAGAGTGGCTGGAAACATCAGTTCCTAGCGTCAGAAACAGCCAGAGAATATTGGACTGAGTGGGGTGTTGCTGATCTAATTCAGGAATTGTGTGGGAAGGGAGGGCTGCAAGGATCACGTCGAAGGGTGGACAGATGAAGCAGGGAGCATGACTTGCTCCAGCACTGCTGTAGGATCCTTCAGATCCCACAATGAAGTGACCATAAAGCAACGTGCCAATGGATCACTCCACTGAGCACCTTGTCCATAAAGGGACTGCTGTGCAGAGTCCTCTGCCCAAAAGGTCGGGGCCTGCCTACAGTTTAGATCATGCTCTGTAGTACTGGAAGGTGAAAACTGTTGTGTCCATTATGTAGCAGGTAAAAAGGTCTGCGGGAAATGATCTCTCATGGCTACAAGAATCCAGACATATTCTGGTATGCACTAGCTCTTTTCTTCACCTCCTGCAAAGACATTATAAAGATGAGGACTAATGCATGGGCAGAGAGGCTGCGTTTCACTCACAGCACTGATACTGGCACAGCTACACAGATCCTATCTTTGCCTCAGAGTTAAGAAAATGAAGAAAAACAGCGTAAGCTGAAAAAGAGATCTAATGTGATTAAAACACAAGAAGGAAAAAACCAATCAAATATGAAGCAATAAATCAATTGGCATTTCCCACAGCTGAACCACAGGAGCTGAGATTGCCTTCAAGATATGCTATATTTCTGTGTAACACAGGTAGGGGTCAGGGACCCCTGAGAGATCAGATATCTCTGGCCAAGGGCTGCTTAGCGTCGCAGCACCAGGACCATCCCCAGCCACCAGAAAAAACGCCAAAGAAATACCCTCTAATCACTGACCCAAGAAACTGCCTAAATTTCAGCAGAGCTACCCTGCAAGAGGAAGGGGCGGGATTTGGCCGTGTTAACATACCGCACTGGGACGGCTCTTGCTGACATGGCTGTAGCTGCGCAGCTCTACGCCACCAGAGGAGGGAGGGACGTAGGCCCACAGGTGCACGAGATGCCTCTCTCAGAGACAGCTTATTCCTACCCAACCCAGAAATAGGGGGAACAAGGCACAACCCACCCCAAATCCACTCCGTTCCCCCAGTACTGCCCAGAAGGGGGGACATGGCCCCCAGCCTCACAGAGCCTTCTGGAAGGTTCTGCCATGGCAGCACCACCCCCTCAGCTGCTGCCCCCAGCCCAGCTGCGGTGGCG